GGTCTGAGGACAGCAGGCTTGGTCAGAGGGGAGGGGGCTGAGCAGGAGTGTAGAAATATCCCTCATCCCTTCCTCTGCACCTAGTGGAAGTCTGCTTTTGCTAGAGCCTAGTCCTCTTGCTCACTTCTATAGCAAATATTTACCTGGCTCCCCCCACATATAGCTTGAAACTCTCTGTTGCCTTCGGATAAAAGACATCCAGATACCTGGGATCTGGCCTCATTTCTTATCTACACCCACTTTAACCCTGCAGGGTGCCTGAATGCCCCAGCACCTGGTCGTCTTAAATGCAGAGGTCCCAAGACAGCACAGAAGCAGTACCTCCTGAGCCTGCTCTTGCCCCAAGGGAGTCTTTCTCCTGATGTTTCTCGAGTTTTCTGCAAATACCAGCCTCTGTGCAGGGCATAAGCTCTGACTCCTTGAGCGGACCCTATGCATGAGAGCTTCAGTGTTTTGCTGGGCTGGTTGCTGATCTTTGGCTGCTGCTCCATGCTTCCTTCCTGCAAGTCCCTGGCATGGGTCAGGTTCTATGGCTGGTTCCTGTCCAGCTCCAGCCTGTAATTAGAGACCAAGGTGGTCTTGTCTTCCCAGAGTGACCTTCATGTCCAAATGTGGCAGCAGAGAAGGTTTAGATTTGTGTAACTTGGCTTACCTCTGCAGAGACCTCAGATATAATGGAGGCACAACAGGGAACATTACAGTATGAGCTTGGGTTCACGGGGTAAGTTTTCTGTGTCTCCTTCAGTCCTTTCCCCTTTGAATCATGACAGAAATGTCTTGGTTTGTGGAATGTGAAAAGTAGTAAATAAATAGGGGTAATATTTATACCCTTAATTTCCTCTTTTTTTTTTTTTTTGTCATTTCAGTGTCAGTGGGAATCTTGGTTTGGGGATTTAGATGCCTTAGGTGCTCATTTATTTTATTTTATTTTAGATTGCCTTCATTTACATTTTATTCATTCTTTGTTAGTAATGAAAGTATTTAAGACTATGAATTTACTCCTAAGTACAACTTTGGCTATGATTTGTACTTTTTATTTTAATAGGTTCTCACTATGTTTTCCAGGGTAGCTTTGAACACCTTGGCTGAAGAGATCCTCCTGCCTCAGCCTTCCAAAGCAGTTAGGACTATAGGGATGAGCCACTGTACCTGGCTGTCTGTATATTTTTCTGTATGAGGTGGTAGTACATTTTTTGATTCTTTCTAAAGAGCCAATTCTATTATTTTTAAATTTTTATCTCTGACTTACTATTTAAAATAGTGAGGGCCGGGGATTTAGCTCAGTGGTTTTGCCGCCTGCTACGCAAGTGCAAGGACCCGAGTTCGATCCCCAGTACCCCCCCCCCAAAAGATAATAATAAAATAGTGGTTTATAGTTTCTTTTTTTTTTTTTTTTTGGTACCGGGGATCGAACTCGGGTCCTTGCGCTTGTGTAGCAGGCGGTGAAACCACTGAGCTAAATCCCTGGCCAGTGGTTTATAGTTTCTAACTTACTACAAGCTCTTTCTTTCCTATTTATTTATTTATTTATTTATTTTTGTGGAACTAGGGGTTGATCACAGGGCCTCGTCCATGCTAGCAAGCACTCTCTCATTGAGTTGCAGCTCCAGTCCTTTTTGAGTCAGGGTCTCATTAAGTTGCCCAGGCTGGCCTTGAGCTTGTAGTTCTCCTGCCTCAGCCTCCCATATGGCTGGAATTACAGGTGTATGCCACCACACCTAGCTTAATTTTAATTTTTATTTATGCTTTAATACACATAACATGAAATTTATCATCTTAAATATTTATGGGCACTAAGTATATTCACACACTAAGTATATTCACACTATTCCTAACCTTCAGAAATTTTCCTTTTTGCTTAACTGCAACTCTGTACATATTAACAGGGATTCCCAGTTCCCTACCCCAACCGGAGACCACCATCCCACTCTCTCATTACATTATTTCATTACTCCAGATACCCCATGCAAAAGAAATCATCCAATATTTGTCTTTTTGTGACCAGCTTATATCAATTAGCACGATATTCTGAAGATTCATCCACATTTCAGTGTGTGTTAGAAGTTCCATTTAAAAAAAATTTTTATTATTTATTTATTTGGTTGTTTTGGGGGGTTTTTTGGTACCAGGGATCGAACTCCAGTCCTTGCACTTGCAAGGCAGGCGGCGGAAACACTGAGCTAAATCCCCAGCCCCTATTTGATTTTTTTGAGACAGGGGTTTTACTGTGTAGTCCAGGCTGACCTTGAACTCAGTATGCAGCCCATGCTAGCCTCAAACTTGCTGCAGTCCTCTGGTTTCAGCCTTCTGAGTGCTAGGATTACAGGCATGTGCCACTATGGCATTATTTATTTATTTTGCTGTGTTGCCCAAGCTGGTCTTGAGCTCCTGGGCTCAAGTGATCCTTCTGCCTCAGCCTCCCAAGTAACTGGAATTACAGGCAAGCATTACCATCCCTGGCTTCAAATTTACTTTTTTTTTTTTTTGGTACTGGGGATTGAACTAGGGTCCTTGCGCTTGTGAGGCAGGCGACGGAACCACTGGGCTAAATCCCCGGTCCTTTTTTTTTTCTTTTTAATTTACTTCCTTTTTAAGGTTAAATAATATTTCATTGTATGTCTGTGGCATGTTTTGTTTATCCGTTTATCTACCAGTGGTCATTTGGGCTGCTTCCCTCTTTTGGGTACTGTGAATAATGCTGCAACAAACTTCACTGTACAGCTATCTCTTGAAGATCCTGCTTTTAATTCTTTCTAATATATACCCAGAAATTTTGGAATTACTGGATCATATGTTAATTTTATTTTTTGAAGAGTGATCCTACTGATTTCTACAGTGGCTATAGCACCTAACAGTGCACTAGGTTTCCAATTTGTTGATATCCCTGCCAGCACTTGTTATCTACTCCCCCGCTTTCCAGAGTAGCTCGTCATTGTGGTTTAATTTGCATTTCTCTTGTGGCTAGAAATAGTGTTTTTTCATGAGGTTACTGAGCATTTGTAAATCTTCTTTGGAGAAATATCTGTTCTACTCCTTTGCCCATTTTTCTTTATGTACTTTTTGTTTTTGGTACTGAGAATCGAAGTTGGGTCCTTGCACTTGCGCAGCAGGCGGCGAAACCACTGAGCTAAATCCCCGGCCCATATATTGTGTTTTGAGTAACAGATACCTTTTAATTTTTTTGTGACCTAGTTTATCTGTCGTTTTGTTGCCTATACTGTTGGCATCTTATCAAGGTATGTCTGCCAAATCCAATGTCATGAAGATTTTAAGCTATATTTTCTGTTAAGAGTTTTATACTTTCAGGTCTTAGGTTTAGGTCTTTAAATTATTGTGAGATAATTTTCATCTCTGGTGTAAGGTAAGGTCCCAGGGATGCTAGGCAGCTTTCCACCACTGAGCCACATCCCTAGACCATCACTGAGATTTTGATTGTAATTGCATTGAATCTATAGCTCCCTTGGGATAGTATTGTCACCAAAATAGAAGGAAGAGGGAGGGCAGGGAGGGGGAGGAGACATAATAAGAATTAAGATGTGTTATGCACATGTACCAGCTTCCCATGATGAATGTAATCATTATGTACTACAAACATGTACTAATAAATATTTTAAAAGTAGGTTTTCCAGTAAATGAACATGGGATTTCTTTCCATTGTTTAGGTCTTCTTTAATTTGGATTTTTAAGTTTATTGCTGAATATTCATTCTTTTTATTTTTTTATTTTAGTTTTTGGTACCGGGGATCGCAGTTGGGACCTTAAGCTTGCAAGGCAGGCGGTAGAAGCACTGAGCTAAATCCCCAGCTCCCCTCATTCTTTTTATATATCTTCAAATTTTATTTATTTTGTGGTGCTAGTGATGGAATCCAGGGCTTCACACATGCTAGGCAAATGCTGTACTGCTGAGCTGCACCTCCAGCCCTTTAAGTTGTATGTCTCTAGATATTTATCTATTTCTAATTTGTTGGTACATAATTTGTAATATTCTCTTACATCTCTTTATTTTAGTTTTTAATTTTTTGTTTTCTTATTTAGGTGTTTATGTTGTTGTTGTTGTTGTTGTTGTTTTGAGACAGTCCCACTATGTAGTTCAGTCTGGTCTTGAACTCACTATGTAGCCCAGGCTATTCTCAAACTCATGGCGATCCTCCTACCTCACTCAGCCTCCCAAGTGCTGGAATTCCAGGCATGTGCCACCATGCCTGACTAACCGTTTTTTTTTTTTTTGGTACCGAGGATCAAACTCGGGTCCTTGCGTTTGCAAGGCAAGCAGCGGAACCACTAAGCTAAATCCCTGGCCCATCTTTTTATTTTAAAATACCAGGGAAAGTCTTGTCTCAAAAGAAAAAAAAATAATCAAGAAAAGGCATACCAAAACAGAGATTTTTTTGTTTTGTTTTGTTGTTTGGGTCTATTGAATCTTATTTTATCTTTCTTGGATCCGAGCCTGACCTATTGTGATCTTTAGCCCATAGAGCCACAATTTCTGGAGATAGTAAAAATGTCCCCCATGGGTATTTAGCAGAGGCTGGTCCAGACTACTAAAGCTGCCTTGGAGTGCTCTGAGCCATGAGACCTTGCTGGTAAAGTCAGGCCCACTTGTATGCAGTGTCTTCACACCTGCTGTTCCCTGGGAGCGCTGCCTTCCTGCCAAGGCTGCTGGAGGATTGGATCTTTCATGTGATCCCAGCCTCACTGATTCTGGAGCTCTCTCTCTCCTTTTGTTTCTTCTCTTCTTTCTTTCTTTTCTTTTTTTTTTTTTTGGTACCAGGGATCGAACTCGGGTCCTTGCGCTTGCACAGCAGGCGGCGAAACCACTGAGCTAAATCCCTGGCCCTTCTTCTCTTCTTTCTTTGGGAATTAAACCCACAGTCTCAGGCCTCCTAGGTAAGTGCTCTACCACTTAGCTATACCCTCACCCCTTTTTATTTTTTTGTTTTGAGACAATGTCTTGCTAAATTCACCAGGCTGGCCTCAAACTTGTAATCTTTCTGCTTCAGCTTCCCAGGTGGCTGAGACTACATGTGTACATATCACCTATGCCCAGCTGTCTTTGTTTCTCAAAGCCTGCATCTTTGGGGTCCAGGGTTCCAGGTGAGACATGTTCACTCGCTGGTAGACTCATGATCCTGAAAATTCAGAAGCTTCACTGTACTGTTTCCTTAAGGAATTTCAGAGCTAGGTTAGCATCTTAAAAATCTTGAGATATTAGCTGGGCTCTGTGGTGCATACTGTATTTACAGCTACTTGGGATGGTGAGGCAGGAGGATTACTGGAGTCCAGGAGTTCCAGGCCATGCTGGATAACATACCATGACTCTCTCCCCAAAAAAGGTAAATATATAAAGATTCCAAGGTAAGGAAGAGAGGCAGTTTGTTTAAGAAAGCTATCAGGTCTTCCTTATCATAAGAGTCTCTAGTATTGTATTATTAGCAACAGAGTCAGATGGAGACATCTTTTCTGAATGGAAGGAAAGTTATCCCCAGCCCAGGTTCCAGCTCTGACATGGGCAACCCCACTGGAGGCTTTCCCTACGAAGGGTGGTTCCAGCCCACATCTTTGTGCTCAGAAGAACCTTGTCTGCTCATCCTCACTTTGGGAATTCCTGTCTATTATGTCTCCTACCTTTCCCCTGATCACATTTGTCATAGGGAATTTGTACATGTACATAATATATCTTAATTCTTTTTTTCTCTCCTCTCCTCCTCTCTTCAACCCTTCATCCCCTCCCCATTTGCAAAAGTTTTGTTTCCATTTTTTTTTTCCATTCTCTTTTTTTTAAAAATCTCATTTCTTTCTTTTTTTTTTTTTTTTTTGTACCAGGGATCAAACTTAAGACCTTGCGCTTGTGAGGCAGGCACCGGAACCACTGAGCTAAATCCCCAGCCCTAAAAAAATCTCATTTCTTAAGAAGACCATTTTTTTTTTAGGTTCCAGGGATTGAACTCGGGTCCTTGCACTTTCGAGGCAGGCGGCGGAACCACTGAGCTAAATCCCCAGCCCCTAAAAATCCCATTTCTCTTCCTTCCCTTCCCTTCCCTTTCCTCCTCCCTTGTTTCTCTTTCCATTTGAACATGTTCTTCCTACTTTCCAGTATCCATCCTCCATTTTGCTCCTCATTTACCTTTTGGGTTTCTCACATAAGAGAAACAATGTGACACTTAAACATGTGTGTCTGAGTTATTTCACTTAAAATTATGGTCTCAAGATCCATCCATTAACCTAAAAATGTCTCAAGTTTATCTTTCTGTATGGCAGAGTAGTACTCCATTGTATATAAAAACCACATTCTTTTTTTTTTTTGGTACCAGGGATCGAACTCGGGTCCTTGCGCTTGCGCAGCAGGTGACGAAACCACTGAGCTAAATCCCCGGCCCCAAAACCACATTCTTTATCCATTCATCAGTGATGGGCATATGGGCTTTTTCCAGGATTTCACTGTTATCAATTGTGGTGCTGTAACCATGGGTATGCATATCACTGTAGTATGCTTTTAACTCTTTTGGGATGATACCTAGAAGAGGAATAGCTGGATCAAATGGAACCTCTAGTTTCAGTTTCTTTTGTTTTTGGACTCAGGGTCTCACTATGTAGTTCAGACTGGCCTTGAACTCAGCTGTGTTCTGCAGGCTGCCCTTGAACTCTTGGTGATCCTCCTGTGCTGGGATCTGCCTTCCAAGTGCTGGGATTACAGGAGTGTGCCACCACACTCGCTTCTTTTTTTTTTTTTTTTTTTAAGACAGGGTCTCACCTTGTAGTGCAGACTGGCCTCTAGTTTTGGTTTTTTAAGGAATCTCCATACTGGTTTCCATAGTGGTTATGCCAATTTAGACTCCCACCAACAATGGAGAAGTGTTCCTTTTTCCCCACAACCTTGCCAACATTTGTTATTAGTTGAATTCTTTCTTTTCTTTTATTTTTTTTCTGGTACCGGGAATCAAACTCTGGTCCTTGCACTTGCAAGGCAGGTGCAGCACCACTGAGCTAAATCCCCAGCCCATGTGGTTTCTTTTGCTGTGCTATTTTTTTGCTAGATTTTGAAGGACTTGATGGATTTACCTTCTGGTCTTCTGCAGCATCCTCTGCTGCTCACTGCCTTCATCATATTTTTCTGTTAAGTCTACACAGTTATTTATTCGTTTATTTAATTATTTATTGGTACCAGGGATCTAACTCAGAACTTTGCACCAAGGCAGGTGCAGTGCCACTGAGCTAAATCCCCAGCCCTCCACAGTTATTTATAACAGTCCTTTTCATTGTGGTCTTTTCCCAGTTTGTTGAATCCAGTGTCCGCTTTGGAGGGTGCATACAGCGGTTCCCAGTGTCTGTGCTAGTGAATGTGTTCAGCAGGATTAAGCAGGAGGCAGCTTTTCAGCTTCCCTTGGCAGGCGAGTCTTTTGTTTACTCTTCCCTGTTTAAGCTTGGGTCCGTGGGCCCAGCCACCCTTGTCTGTCACAGAGGGACCTCAGGCAGGGATCTAGAGGCTGTGGCTCCTTGCCAGACGATGGTGCAGAGAATATGCTAGATCTGCTCTGAGGTCTTGGGGGGACAGACAGCAGTGGGATTTTGCCTAGGACCTAGCCTTCAGCAGGAGCTGTGTTGGTTAGGTAAGCCCTGGTCTTCCCCTCCCAGCTGAAGTGCTTGTTGGGACTTTTGGGCCACTCACCACCCATTTTCCAGGTGGGATAGGCAGAAGCCACATGGACACAGATGGGTATGATTCTGTGCTGTGGGGCATTTGAGTCTCTTTGGATAAATGTGCTCTATATGTTGTGTGTGTGCATGTGGGTATGGCGTGGTTGCAAATGTGAACTTGTGGTTGGCCTTGAGAAGGTCTCCAAACTATTAGCGTTTCCTACTGCAGTGTTCCTCCTTCTTTGTGACAGAAGCTGGACACAGGCAAATCCAGCTCCTAGAAGGCTCTTATGGTATGTGGTAGGAGGGATCCAGATGAGGGCACTACAGGGCCTGAAGTCTGCCCTGGGTTGGGCTGGAGAGAGCCCCCTGACCAGTCCACTGCCTTGTTTGCATATAAAAGGCAGGACTATTCATTTGCTAGGGGTTGGTTGTATCTGGACCTGTTGCTATGGGCACTAGGCAAACTGGCTTTAGTGGGGGAGGGGAGTGGGAAGGCAGCATCTGGCTCAGGTTTTAGGAGGGAAGAGCTGTCCCCCTGGGTCCCTGGGAGCATCCAGAGGTCTCCAGAGGCCACCTGAGGCCTGGAGCAAAGGCAGAAAAGAGGAGTCCCAGGCTTTTGGCGCTACAACTACCCTTCCCAGGAGAGAATATACTAACATTCCTGGCTGGGTCAGGGTCATATACCATTTGCTCCTCTAGTTTGCTGGGCTGGGAAGAAGGGGATGGTGAGGTTCATCTTTCCTCTGAGGGTCTTGGGACTTCAAGGTGGTCACTATCTCCAAGGAGCGGCAGCTCTGTCTCCTTCCCGGGCACACCCCTCAGTGCTATGTCCTGGCTGCTGCCCTTTCAAAAGCCATGGTGGCTGATGACAAAATATGAATCATTCTTTGTTCCAGAAGATCAGGAAGGACTTTTCAGAGCTGGTACTGGGTTTTGCACCTAACATTGTCTCTCAACCTCATGGGCTAAAGCCTCCAATCCTTCTCATTCGGTTTTCTAGCCTAAATATATCCTGGAGCCTCATGTGTCCAGCAGGCCCTTGGCTTCTTCAGCCTAACATACCCCCATCTCTACTGTGGTGTGCGCACAGAGTCCAAGCTCCTTTCCTCCAACTGCTCAGACCTCAACCTTGTGGCCAGCTCAGACTCCCTATTCTCTCCCACTCCTACCTCCCATCCATACAGTACCGATGGCCATGGTTCCACCATAGCAGCCTCCCCACAGGGCCCTGCCTCCCCCATAGAAGCTGGAGGGTCTTCCTGACACCCAAGTCAGAGATGTCTGCCCCCACCCGGTCCCTCCTGGCCTCGTTCCAAATTTGTGGGCCCCTGTAGGCTGAGGAAAGGGGAGTGTCTTCTGGGTACCCAGTGTTTTGCCTTGATAAAGAAATGAATGATGAGTCGGGCATGGTGGCACACACCTATAGTCTCCCACTCCAGAGGCTGAGGCAGAAGCATGGGCAAAAGTTCGAGGTCAGCCTGGGCTACATAATGAGCTCAGGGCCAGCCTGAACTACAAAGGGAGACCCTGCCTCAAAAAAAGAAACAAATGAATGATGAGCCAGCAGGATGGTACATACCTGTAATTCCAACACTTAGCAGGAGGATCACAAGTTCGAGTGCCGCTTGGACAACTTATCGAGACCTGGTCTCAGAAAACTTAAAAGGGTTGGGGTGTAGCTCAATGTTGGAGAGCCCCTGGGTTAGATTCCTGGTACTGGAAAAAAGGGCAGATATAGGGGATGAGTGATAAATTTCCTCACGCTTCCCAGTCCCCAGCAATTGCCTTTTGTAGGCTGTGGGCAATCCCACCTATCCGCACCTCTTCCATGGGTTGGGAGGCCCAGACTTGGCATAATTGGGGCCCTGCTTATCCTGTGTGAGCTTGCACAAGGCAGCTGTGTACCCAGGCTCTCAGGGCTATAGGGAGGATTGGTGGGGTGTTGTTGATATGTGGGTCCCCACAGGCACGTCCTGGTGTCCGCAGACATCAGCAGATAGCATAAATGCTGATGGGGAAAGCAGGCAGGGAGGGATGAAGTGAGGGCCTCTGTGGGGGCTGCAAGGGTGCTTGCTGACTCAGGGGCACTGCCAGGTTGGGGCGGCCCTTGGCTCCACTCCCCAGCCCTGTGTACATTTCCCCACAATGGGGTGGATCTCTCCCGGGGCCAGTGCCACCTTGTGCTGCCACTGGGACCTGTGACACCCCCCCCACACACACACACATACACACAATAGGGGCTTAGTTAGCAAAGCTGCTGTGGGTCAGACTGAGGTTACTTAGTGAGGCCTCCCAGGCAGGGTGGCCAGCATGCAGGGCCATGGCCAGGTGCCTCATCAGCAGCAATCAGGGTGGGCAGGGACCCTTAGGCCAGGCTAGGGGAGGAATCTAGGACTAGGGGCCAGCTGGAGTGTGGCCTGGCCCCTTTCTTGCCTCTCTGACTGTGGAGCAGGAGTGCAGACAGGCTATCTTGCTAGGGATAGGTCTGTGTTGGCTCCCTATTATCAAGCCCAGGACCTACATTTTCTTCAGGTTTCCATTTCCTTGATGTTGGAACAAGCCAGTCCCTGGTGAGGTTCTCTCCTGTCCAGGGCTATGCTGGGGTTGTGGGCACATTCAGGCTATCCAGGGCAACACAGAAGGCCTGCTGCCTTCTCCCCAGGGCAGGAGGGAAGTTGGGGTCCCCTTCAGCAGGGGGAGCCAAGGCCAGGGAAGTGAGGAGACAGTGACTCAAGCCAGGATCCAGCCATCATAGCCAGTCCTCTCAGAAGACCTGGTACAGACTTCCTTCCACCTTAGGTGTGAGCCTTATGGCCCCTGTTCCCTTTTCCCAGCAGTTGCTTAGCCCAGCACTGTCCTTGTAACCATTCCCAGATGTTTCCCATCGAGTGAAAGTTCTCCCTGCAAGGCCTTTCCTACCATGTAAGTGGAGCAGTTCCTTGTGAAAAGAGTGTAGGAGAAAATAGGCAAGTCATCAGCCCCACAGGAAACTACTACTTGTTTGTTTGTTTTGGTACCAGGGATCGAACTTGGGACCTTGCGCTTGCGAGGCAGGCGGTGGAAACACTGAGCTAAATCCCCAGCCTAGGAAACTACTACTTGTGCTGTGGGTTTCTCTGCCCAGCCTTGGCCCAGACTTCCAGGCTCTGAGGCTCAGGCCAAGGACCCTTTTGTGGACAGCTGGAGCAGGTGGTACCAGAGCTCAGCCTCTAACCACCAGGCTTTCCCACCCTGGCTTCCTTGGCTTTACATCCCAGGAAGAGAGGCTGGATGAGAAGACCTCCTTTGCACTCCAGAGAATCTCTGATCATAGACTTCAGGGGCTGTATCCCCACCACCCCTCAAAGGATCTTTGTGTCACTACAAAGAGGCTCTGTCCCTCCAGAGAAGCCTGGATATTGCCATGGTGATGGAGGGGCCTGGCAGAAGGGGTCCACCCACTGTCTGTGGTGGAGAAAGTGCATTTCAGGCTGAGGAGACTGTGCATGCAGGCTGGCGGCCATCATGATGACTGTCACACCTGCCTAGCCACTGCATCTTGACCTGCTGGGATAGGTGTTCCTGACAGTGGGGCCATCAGGTTATGGGCACAAGTGGGACTCCCATGCTCTGTGCCTATCTGTAATTGATCCAAGCCTGACTGTGGGCTTCTGTGTTCTCAGGAATTTTTCAGTCCTCATGTCCACCCTAGAGCACAGTGGAGTGGACGTTGGCTCCGTGCCTGGATCTCATAGCTGCCCCCCCCGCCCCCCGACACACACACTGCTGCAATCTCCCTAGGATGGGAGATGAGCTATGAAGCGCATCTTGTAGCTAGGTATCTATTAGGGAAGGCAGTGAAGTCATGGGCTGGCCACCTACACTATACCTAACCCCATTCAGTGGGATCTTGGGGGTCCTGCCCGTCCCACATCCCGTACTTCATTGTTAAGGGTGAAGTAAAAGACTAGCAGGGAAGAAGACACTGCTAGCAACCTCCCCCGCCCTCCATGCCTGGAGCTCCCAGCCCAGGGGCCTTGGCCCTGGGGCTGCCCCAGGCCAGATGCCATAGATACCCCAGAGGATGTGGGAACTTGCTGCTTATAGTTCTACCCTTGGCACCTACAAAACAGCCCCTTGGCTGCAGCTAGAGCCTGGATCAGGGACAAAGGGGCAGCAGCAAGGCAGCCTGGGGCCTGTGGGGTCTCCTGTGCACCTGTGTCCTCTGTGTCCCCTGTGTCCTCATAGGCAAATCCCAGGGGACCATGGAGACTTCATGCCATGTTGCCACAGGGAACAGGTGTCTGTGACTGCCCAAGGGGAAATCTTAGGCTAGGGCCCCAGCAGTGGTTTCCTGTGGCTCAGGCCTTCCATGAAGGAAGATAGTTGCTGAGATACTTGCCTGCCCCATCCACCATATCCCCAGGTTTGTCCATCCACTGCCCCTCCCCAAGGCAGGCCCAGACCTCAGGCTGCCTGGATTCCCAGCTCCCTGGCCCCAGCAGTGTCCCTGCCTTGATCTGACCTCCAGCCCCTTGTATCAGGCCTCTCATAGCCTCAAGTCCCACAGACCTCCCACTCAGAAATCTCCTGCTCTGGGGCTGACCCATTCTGCCTTCATCCTGGGCAGCTGACACAAGTGGTACCAGATCTTAGCCTGCCCTTGCCCAAAGTGCCCCAGTAGTACAGGGTTTCCATGCACTTGGGAGCCATTCCCCAGGTGATCAGAGGATGCCACAGGGTGATCATGTGGACATCTTGGGAGGCAGGA